TGAGCCAATCTCCTTTTCAAAACTCCAGGCCTGTTTTGCTCCATTCCAAATCTAGACAGCGCCCATGTTCTCCATCCCTTGTGTCTCTGTCAGGGGATGCCTTGTGAAGTGACATTTGGTTTCTACCATTGCTGTCATCTACTAAAATTCTCCAGTACAAAACTTCCTCCTATCTATGTCAGAGCCAAAGCTGCCAGGCATAGGTTCAGACACTTGTCTTTGGGTCCCATCACTGGGATTCCCCGGGGAACATTGGAAAGATTTAGGGGTTCCTGTGGCAATCATCCTCTCTCCAGTTTAGCCCTAGAACACCCACTTTTCATCAGGACAACACAGGGAGGTCACCAGGTAGGAGTCAGGCTCCACAAATATTATTTCTTATTCTCTCTGGGCTAAGTTAAACCCGAGTCTCTGGGGACTAGAAATTGAGAAGTAGCTGATGCCTTCAAAAGGCCAGGAATGAGACAACAGGGAATGATTCCTTCACTGGCTGGAGACACCCACAGTTTATCTCTCTTACAGACTGTATGGAAAGCTACCCCTTGGTAGATCAGATCTCATAAAATGCTGGTTCCTAAATTCGCTTTATGGGGATTAGAGGTTGGACTGCCCTGACAGGGATTCCAGGGACATTTGGCACTCTGCAGTACCTACCAGTGTCCCTGCCTGTCCTGCAGCTACTGTGTTCAGCAGGCTGGAAAACGGGCCTCACTTGTTTCATTTATTCTACAAATCAAAATCACCAGAGTCACTGGGTCACATGCTTGTGCCTTCCATACCAACTAGGCAAAGAAATGCAAAAAAAGTAGTGACAAAGTTGGTTCTACACATTCAGCCCCAAATACCTGCAGATTCTGCATCTGTGCAGTTGAACACACGTTCTCTGTTTTTGACTAGACATACTGGAAAAATTGCCTTTTCCCTGGCTGAGCATGTGCATGGCCTTTCCTCTGTGTTATTTTCTAAACTCTATACCTTAATAACCACCAGCACAAACTTATCTAGAGATGATTAACTGTCAGGGAGGCTGTGTCGGGATGCTATGCAGGCCCACAGCAATGGTAGCAGGGGTCCGCTCTCCCGCAGATTCTTGTTTCCGCATTGAAGGGCATCTCTGTTGTCTTGGGCATCCCCTTTCCGGAAGATGCACGCATGTGGAAGGAGTAGAGGTGGAGCACTGGCTAAGTGTAGCACGTTTTCATCAGTCATACTGAAAAACTGTAAGGGGACGTCCAAGTTTCAAGAGAATGTAGCTATGGTAACCTTATTATAATTGGATTGAATTACCCCCTCAGTTATAATGGAAGTAAGTTACCAACATTTAAAGGTATTTCTTTCATGCTGAAGACGCTTGCCAGTAATGACAGATTCAGTGTCTCCTCACAAAAATCCACTCCGTGGAAGATCTTTATTTTGCCCCTGAAGCAGGAGCTCACTCACAGTTATGCTAAGGGTGAGCAGTCTCTCTTCACTATATCCTGCTGAGAAGGATGATGGCCTGGCCTGCCTGGTAAAGACACTGCCTGGTGGCGCTACCAGAGACCCTTCCATGACTCTGCTTCCCACTGAACAGTTTCCAGGGTGCATTGTCCATTGCTTTCCTCTTACGGCGCTTTGTTGAGCCAAACTAGAGTTTCTTTCCACCCAGGACGTAGTCCTGAATGATCTTGTGGCTGGAAGGAGGCATCACCGAGTCCCCAGATATCTATGGGTGAAGGAGGCACCGTGCCAGGGCAGCAAATAGTACTTGCATAACCCTCAATACCATGAGAATAGGACATTGCACAGCTGCGTATCACAGGCGATTCATTTTCTTTGGTTGGTTATGAAAAGCAAAGAAATGAAATCCCCAAAACAACAGCAACAAAATGTAAACCTGGCCCCTAAGAGGCACGTCCAGGGGTGTTTTTCTTATTGTCCTTTTTTTTTTTTTTTTTTTTTTTTTTTTTTTTTTTGTCTACTCCCGGTACACGACTGTTAGTACAACAAGGGAAATACTCCAGACCCCTCCCCAAGCCCTGAATACTGCTAAATAAAGAACCCACATCAGTACAGGATGCAATTATGGCAGGGCAGGAAAGATACTGAAAATTTTCTAAGGAAAGTGTCATTATGCGCAAGTGTGAGTAGATATTTTAAAATATACAGTAAAAATCGTGTCTCGCTGGAGAGATGGCTCAGAAGTTAAGGGCACTGGCTGCTCTTCCAGAGGACCTTGGTTCAATTCCCAGCACCCACGTGGTAATTCACAACCATCCATCCTACCTCTAGTTTCAGAGTATCTAATACCCTCTCTTGGCCTCTGTGGGCACCAACATATACCTGTTACACAGATATGCATACAGGCAAAACACCCGTGCATGTAAAATAAAAAAATAATAAACTAAAGTATATATCCAGGAAATGGAAATATCTCTGGAATTCATAAGCATTGCACCCATTCCTGACATTGGTGACAATTTGGGTATGTGTAAAGTGAGATTCAGACCCTAAAGGCATTCTAGGCATTCTAACTGCCTGAAACAATGAAGCGGTGGGCATAAGTCGAGAGAGAGAGAGAGAGAGAGACAGAGAGAGAGAGAGACAGAGAGACAGAGATAGAGAGAATGTGTGTGTGTGTGAGAGAGAGAGAGCATGAGCTAAGCAATACAGTGGCCAGCTGTTAGGAAAATTGCCATTGACGCCGCCACCAAATCTTTTCTTCTCAATAGCCCTGTATGTTCCTATCCAATGTGACTGAACTTCATTTCACAACCGATAAAGGGCCAGCTTAGAAAATGTCCTTGAAACATGAAATAATTCCCCTTGATTGTGGGAATGTACTCCAAACCTCTGGTGAGTGCCTAAAATTTAGGGTACTGTTAAACCCATCTGCAATTTTGTTTTTTCCTATAACACACACCCGTGGCAAAGTTCCGTCTATAAATTAGGCATACTCAGAGATCAAGAACAACAACAATAAAATGGAAAAAAATGAGAACACCATACTGTAATGAAATTGCTAACAACATTACTCTTGTACTTCAGGGCCATTTGCGAAGTGAATTAAGCATAGCTTGACAACGATGTGACAGTCCAGCTGGTAACCGAGACAGCTATTAAATGACTAGTTGGCAGGCAGCATATATACTCAGAAATCCTATTCCCTGAATAACATACAGTTTATAAATTCTGAGTGGCTTGTTTATGACATTTTTATGTTAAGGGCTTTTGAAAGAAGTTGGCCTTGGGTGCTTTAAGCAATGAGAAATAGACTCATTGTGTTGTTTGTTTTTTTCCTACTGTTGAACATTCTCCACACCTTCATTTTTGAATGAAGAGATAGTGAGGCCCTTCTAACATCAGGCATCTAAACTGGATGACGAGATGGACAATCGCTGAATGCCATGAGAAGGCCAGACTGTCTGTGCCCAGTTACTACACAACCAAGCAATCCCGAAGTACAGAATTCATCTTATGCAGTCTTATTCTTCAAGGCTTTCCACCCAGCTGCCAGCTGCCAGGGTTGGGGTGGGGTAGGGGGCGACTCCATTGTTTCTTCTGAAGTCTGAAATCATAGATGTAAGAAACAAGAGGCATGTAGTATTTTAAAATACTGAATAACACAATGAAATACATCTGTAGGCTCTGTACTAACAGGACTGGGTTTCAGCTAGTGAGAGCTTCCTCCAGCTGTATGCATTCTAATGGCGATGTGGAAACGAGACCAAGGGGAAATTTTATGCCTATTCAAAAAGGACTCTCTTTGGGACCAGTAAAAATCTATGCAAACGTGTGGTTTTCAAGAGCTGAGTGGGGGAAAGGGCATGTGCATTCTGACCCTGGCTTCTCACAGAGAGATAGCAACTCTGATTTCAACTACTTGCATGAAAGAAAATGCTTACACAGGCCAGGCATCCCACAGCCAGGCTTCCCAGGGAAGTGCCAGGAATCCTGTGCTCTCCTTGTGAGTGCCAAGAGTACTGGATTTCACCCAGTGATGCATCTTGAGTCTGTGAAGCCCAGAGCAGCTTGCAGGTTAAGTGCTGATTGTACCCCTGAAAACATCTGGAGGAGATGGAGGTGGATCTGTGGTCTCCAGACAGGCTACTGTGTGCTTTCTGTCCCCCAGTTAGCCTTCCTGGTTTTCTTAGGGTAAGCTGAGATCGGAATTGTTGTGTGTCTACTGCACCAAGCTCTTGGAAACAATTGCTTGCCTTGATCACATTTAAGTAGGTCAATTCTGGCTTCCAGCCCCACCAACTTTTGGAGCCTAGACAACTTCACACCAGTGAGTGAAACCAGAATATTCTTGTTCACTTTCTGAAGGCCAGTCTGCTAATAGGGGTGCAGTGAGATTTGGGCTTACCTTCTTCTCTTCTAACTTGGGTACAATTTTTTTTGTTTGTTTTTGTTTTTGTTTTTTGAGATAGGATCTCACTATGTAGCTTTTGCTTGCCTGGAACTCACTATTTAGACAATGCTGGTCTTGAACTCACAGAGGTCTGCTTGCCTCTGCTGCGTGCAGGGATTGAAGGTTTATGCCACCATACCTTCCTTGGGTTAAAACTTTCAGCCTTCCTGTTCTCACTGACTTTTCAAACTCCATTTTTCTGATTTAAATAAAGCTCCGAAACCCCCTCTGATGCCATGGTCCTGCTGTTCCAGGCAGCAAGGCTCATTTTTGTTTTTCAAATGTGACTAAAGCAGTGAGAGCCACATCCTGTAAGAGCAGCCCAGGCTTTAGAAAAGAAACAAGAACTTCTAGCTCCTCAAAAGGAGTGGGGAACTTGGAGCTGGAAGTTAGGTTGACAGCCATTGTGCCTGGAGCAGAACTAAGGATATTCAAGATCGAGGGCTTGTGAAGGGAATCCAGGGGCCAGCCAAGGCAGCATGGGAGGTCTATTTATTAGATCACAGCCCTCCAAGTTCAGATGCCATGCGAGTATTCTGTGCCTGTCTTAAAAAATATTTATAAGAAGCAATTAGAATTTTCTTTCTTTTATTTTTCTCTTTAAAAGCTTCTCACAAATGCCAACTGGTTCTGTACGAGACGAGACCAATGACAACATCACAATATTCACCAGGATTTTGGATGGGCTTTTGGATGGCTACGACAACAGACTTCGGCCTGGGCTGGGAGGTGAGTGTACTTCCAGCTGAGGCCTGTGAAAATCTAGTGAAAAATCACCCTCAGCCATAGCGATATGCTGACTGAACTTCAGACAATTCTGGAGAGAGCTACTTTGCTAGGACTTTGAGCGAGAACGGATCTATCGTGTGCCCTGTGTTAATATTTTTCAGATTCATGGGGCAGGTGGGAAGTGGCTTCCTCATCACATTTCTGAAGACTCCCAGCTTTCCAGATAATCTGACAGTCCATTCTGGTTTCTTGGAACAACAGTTCTTCGGTGTTGCTAATGCTGAGCACACAGTGTGTTAGGAAATAAGGGAAAAGGCCCTCACTCTTTTATATGTAAATGTCTATGAGAATTCTACTGCCCACTGAAGGTTCTCTTTCTGTCTTCACTTGCTGGAAGTCTCATCTCTCACTGGGTAAAGGTATTCTCAATGTCCCTGCGTATCCAAAGGGGAAGTCCCATGAACCCCAGCAGAGGTCTGAAATAACAACTACTTCCAAACTCTCAACTTTCTTCCTATATACAAACCGTGAGGTTTAGACACTTTGCCAGATGCAGTCTAGAAATAAAATGAGTTCTCCAATGTTTGTATTATTAAAGAAGAATCACAGAAAGCCCAGATTTGTATTCATAGTCCTTAGTGAAAGAAAAGCTCTCACAGGTCTGGGGTCACCTCCGTGCCCCACGGGAAGACATTCTTGGGCTCAGTGCCCAACAATTTCATCTCTGCACATTTCTGCACATTCAGCACAGAGAAGACCACTGAAACATCCATCGGCTCTTGCAGAATTTTATTCAGGTAGCCCGTGTCCCTCTTACTCATGCAGTAGAAACCCTAATATAATAGGTCACTCTGGGTCAGAGGGTGTAGTAGGGCTTCTTGCTTATCCAGAAGGTGGGCACTAAAGTCACAATACACAGACAGGGTAAATATATACCCTGCAAGTGAATAAGGCCTCAACGGGAGGAGATCCAGGAACCTCTCTGAGCCCACTATGCCAGTAGGCAGTTGGGAGCCGTTAAGCATTCTGGACATAGTTTCTGCTCATGACCCAAGGGAAACAGGAGCCCCTGTCCCAGTCCTTTTGATCATTCTGATACTCCTGTACACCCCATCGCTTTAGTTAATATGGTAGGGCCCGATGATGGGAGTCTCTAACGTTCATCGTGTCATTTAAGGAGGAGTGATTCTGTTTTCAGGCTGTGCTTTGTTGGCATGCAACAAAGTCCTTGCTCAATTCTCCTCCCCCAAGCCCACACACGGCTTCCAGTTTGACTGGCCTATTCACTCAAGTCAGTATCCACCACAGGCTAGCCTCAGGGCTCCAGGCTTACGAGAGATACTACTCTAGACCTCCCATCTCCATCCACATCTATTGAAGACCACTCCTCCAGGGCCCAGGCCATTTCCCTACCATGATGGATACTCTATTTGATTTGTGGTTTGGAATATCCTAGGTCCATTGAGTATTTTTCAAGTCTTCCAGGTTCACAAAAACACACAACTATGCTGTGGTCACAAAGAATGAAGTTGAGTACTACATTGAGAACGCCAACACCATACAGAAGAGGTTCATGGTGAGGGTGTGCGAAGCAACCTGTGTCTGTGTTTCAGAGCGAATCACGCAGGTGCGGACTGACATCTATGTTACCAGCTTTGGCCCAGTGTCTGATACGGAAATGGTAGGTACCCAACCCCAGTCAACACGGACAGTCCCCACACGGAGTCACCTGTGTTAAGGGCCTCTCCCACTGACATGTCACCTTCTTCTCCATTAGGAGTATACCATAGATGTGTTTTTCCGACAAAGCTGGAAAGATGAAAGGCTGCGGTTTAAGGGGCCCATGCAACGGCTGCCTCTCAACAACCTCCTTGCCAGCAAGATCTGGACCCCAGACACATTTTTCCACAACGGGAAGAAGTCCATCGCACACAACATGACTACACCCAACAAGCTGCTGAGGCTGGAAGATGATGGCACGCTACTCTACACCATGCGGTGAGCAGTTGAGTCCCCCTGGGTGGCTGGCCAGGTCAGCTGGTGGCTATGTCCAGATGTGTCTGGCACACATCTGGACAAGGCTCAGTGCCTAGTGGGTAAACAAATGATTTGAGGGTTGTATATGTGTGTGTGGGGGCACATGTGTGTATGCACTGTGATACACTGAACATTGAGCTCTTGTGCTTGGAGGTGTGTGGGAACGTGTGTGTGCATGTGTGCATGTGTGCATGCCCGTGTTTGTGTGTGTGTGTGTGTGTGTGTGAGCACAAGTGTGTGTGTACTATAGTACATCACACATTGAGCACTTGTGCTTGGAGGTGTGTGGGTACGTGTGTGTGTGTGTGTACATGTGCATGTGTATGCATGTGTGCATGCCCGTGTGTGTGTATGTATGTGTGTGAGCATGTGTGCATGTGCCTCTGTGTGTGTGTGTGTGTGCCCTGTGGTGTACCATAAGTGAGTGCTTGCGCTTGGAGAAGTACAAATGTTAAGGCTTGTTCAGATTGTTTCCCTGGGCTGAAGATGTCCACAGACATCAGCGTTTGTCCTCATTTTTATTTTGGTACATGCTCAAGAGCATCCTTTGAACTAGTGACTCATAATGAAAGAGGGAAATTGTATTTTACAGAAATTTTGTCATGAACCTACAAGGAACCCATTTTGGTTGTGGTTGTACAGCTTTATTTTCAAGATTTGAAAAACCATTTCTTATGTTTTGATGAGATTTAAATACTAAGGATAAGTGTTAACATTTTTAATTTAAAATGGCATTTGCCACTCTTGTTCTGAATTATTCATAGACGTAAGTTAATCAATGAATTGACCAATGAGCAAGAGTCCTTCGTAGCTTTTCAGTTTCCATGGTGAGCATAAGTAGGCTTGATGAAATGCTTTCAAAATTACAGAAAGCAAAGCAAAAAATAAGTCTGCATTTCCTAGCCACATACACAACTCATTCAGGTATCTGTAAAATTTATTTCACTAAATTGCTGTTCAAAAAGAACTCCTATGCATACTCATATTAGAAAATGATATAGGTGTCGTCACACTCAGAGGCTGTGTTTGAACTATAGTCCCCCAGGGACATGTGGGTATAGTGTCGTGCACCTATGTGACAGCAAGACATGACTTACGGGAGAGTGGTAGTGAGCAAGACACTGACACACGTCTTGGCATCTCATTTTCTGCCCAACCCTTCACTTCTCCTCACACTGACCTCCAACTTGTGCCTGCTCGTGGACACAGCTATAACAGTGTGTCTACACAGCACGCTCCATACAAAGAAGTCTGTTGAGACATTAACAAACAGCGGCAAGTTTGAGAACAAGTCCTAGATCAGTGCCCTGTGGGGGATAAAAAGAGTCTTCGAGGGAAGCCAAGCCACAGAGAAAGGGACAAGACAGAGTCTGAGCTCATGGAGCATGCTAGCAGGCACCTAGCGTTGGGGTGAAGGACTGAATAAAGCTATTGTGGGAGTGGCTTTTGTTCCCCATAGAATAAAGATATCCACCACGACACTAGGCTATTGTCCTTGCATCTCATCTCAAAGAGATTAGTTAGATCCAAAGTGTAAGCCGTACATCATAAAACGCATGGGTTTACTCGGAGCAATCACGTTAGATGTGTGATGCCACACTCCGCTGCATGTTACCTATGTGAGCAGTGACGTCATCTGCGCTATAGAGAGGGACAGACAGGACAAGGGGCCCTGGCTGTGTCACTTCCAGGGCATAGACATCAAATGCTTCTGTTGTCAAAGAGTTTTGCTAGCCAGGTGCAGGTAACGCCTTCACACTTAGTGCTCGGAGCCAGTGAGGCTCACAGGAGTTTGGTAAGCACCTCAGGGGTAACCACACAGGGTCCCAGAGCCGTCAAAGGGCCAGCGGCAATTCCAGCAATGTCCCTGCTCGATCCATCCCATTTGTACGCTGGAGCGCAGCCACATCCTTACTGGGTCAGGGAGAGTCCTATTAGTGCCATCTTTAGAGTGTCATGCCCAGAAGGAAGGATACGTACGTACATATGGTACGCATGAGCGATGAGAGCCACAGCGACTTGTGGCAGCCACGAGTGGTTGCTTATGCAGATCGAGACTGTTAATGAGCTGCGAAGCTGGTAACGAGTTTTCCTTTTTCTCGGTCTGCAACATTTGAGAAGTGGAATAGTCCTCGGAACTGTCGTGCATCTTTAATGTGCTAAAACTGTGTCGCTTAGGCGTCTACTGCTGTGATTAAACACCACGGTCAAAAGCAACGTGGGGGTGGGGTGGGTGGGGAGGACAGGGTTTATTTCAGCTTATACTTCCATGTAACAGTCCGCCGCTGAGGGGAATCAGGGCAGGAATTCAAGACAAGCACCGGGAGGCAAGAACGGAGTCAGAGGCCGTGGAGGAGTGCTTGCTACTCACCGGTTCACTCTTTACGGCCTTCTCAGTTTGCTTTCTCACACAACCCGTGACCACCGTCTGGGGTGGCACCTCCATAGCGGGCTGGGTCCTCCGATGTCATCCACAAATACAGACAGTACCCCACAGGCTTGCATACAAACCAATCTAGTGGAGGGTCTTTTCTCAGTTGATAAAAACCAACCGTCATCCAGTTTTCTTTGCAACGCTGAGGTCACCCATCAGACCTGGCGCTGCAGCTTGGACCTTGAATGTCCCTCCATAGCCAGTATGCTAAAGGCCTTACCCCTAAGCAGCAACACTGGGGAGATGTAGGACCAATAAGAGATGTGGCCTAGTCGTCAAGTGAGGGGGCAGCTTTCCTTGCCCTCCCTTCGCCTCCCCAGCATGGAATGGCCCTCATGTATTCTGGTCCTTATGTTTGCCTTGCTGCAAGTCCACAACAGTGGAGCCAACAGGCTGTTGGTGCATTTTTCAGAACTATGAGCCCCGAAGGTTCGTACATCGACATTTGCATTTGTTACAGGAACACATAGCCAGTTTACACACCGTACAAAGCCAGTGGTGGTGTTACCCTCGGCTCAGTAGTTCCGTGCTAACATCCACTCTGAGGAGGTCGTAAGGAACATGGTCTGAACATCTGTACAGAAATGTGCATTGTGACATTGCTCAGGACACCAGACAGTAGCAGACAGCAAAAATAGGTACATTGTTCAAGTAAAGTTTTATCCTTACTCTTCCGTAAGATGTATTTCATTCAACAGATGAAACATGAATGTGTAGTGAATGTGTAGTATCTGCACGGTGCCCCTTTTAGCCCAAGGCAGACCTATCAATGTTTAAAGACTGTAGCCACTGTCTTATAAAATGTAACTCTCCTGGTACGGTAAAACCCAGCATAAGCCAAAGAAGGGCTTGTACTTGGGTAGGGTTTTTACTTACAATCCCCACCACGTCCCAGATGTGTTTTATGCTGGGAGTCATTTACAAACTTACGCATCGCTGAGCAAACTGGACATCTTTCTAGCCATCATTGATGCATACTCCCCGAGTGTCTGGACACACTTAGCTTGTCTAGTCTCAGTGCTGGATCTGAGAACTGTTTAGGATTGTTCCAATGGGCCATTGTTTCCATGATCTAAAGATAAACTTCACCAATAGCTATAGTAAGACTCAAAAGAGCCACCGGTATTCCCCACTATCTTCAAAAGGAAGTCTCTTTTTTCCAGAAATATAGCTCAGGAGTAGATTGACAGTTAGCAGTATGAGACCCCTGACTCCATTCCCAGTACCAGACTATGAAACAAGAAAGAAACTTGCAACATTTTTTAGGATTATACTCAGTAAGTCTACTATAAATTAAAAGCATTCTGAGTTGGAGATACCTTTCATTTCCATGGGCTGGTGGGCATCAATGTGAATAGTAGCATCTTTCTTGTTATTGATGGCTTCCCATAAGAACACGGACTGTGGCTTTCTGTGGTTGCAAGGATTTGTATTTGACAAATAAATTTATAGCTAGAAAAATTTAACTGGACGCTGAGATGCGTGCATGCACGTGCAATTGTAAAGAACTACACATATGCACTGTCCAAGAGGTCCAGGCTGCAGTTTCCTAATCCAGGAAAGGTTGAATATGAAACTCAAAATATTGCTTTTCCTGAGGGTCTCATTTTCACACTCTTTTCCTGTCACATCTGCAAGTCTGACATGTGAAGTTAGAAATGGTGACCAATAGTTTTTGGTAGGACGGCCTTTAGCATATACCCTGCCCAGAGTTGTGTGCCCAGTATTGGTGGTGGGTCACTTTGAACGAAGCCTGCACAGAGATGCCTCAGGCTTTTTTTTCCTAGGGTCCTGGAGTGGAGGGATCTGCTCATGCTCTTGGAGACTGTTGTTATGGCCAGCCCTACGTAATTCTCTTTTATTTTCTGTCTGGAATTTTCTGTCAGCCCTGCATGGAAGGTGAGCACAGATGCCCTCTGGACAAGCCCTTGCAGCTCAGAGTAGGGCAGCCCCTTGCCGATGATGGTGGGGTATCTCCCAGAGAACATGCCAAGCTGTGATTTATTGTGTTTTATGAGCAGATCACCTGGGTACTAATGGCTGCCTTTGGAACATGTATGTTCTGTAAGATAATGCTAAGAACAACACCTTAGGGAGCATTGCCCGGACAATGGGCTCCTGGCAGAAGTTGCTGGTGTGTTGGGCTAAAACCTGCTAGTGGAAAGAAAGGACTTCCAGGAAAAAACTTGCCTATGTCAGGAAAACAAGCCGTTTTTCTACTTGGGAGCCCTCCATTCCTGTGTGATGAAAGACCTAGGTAGGAACCCTGGAGTGTTGACAGTTTTACCATTGTGTCAGAGCACACAGCAGGGTAGCATCTCCCAGCTCTGTCTGCATCCAATGTCTCTCCTCCGCTTTGTCTCCTGCCCAATGAGTTTACTGTCTGCTATTTTACTTTGAAGAAAGCGTACTTTAGAAACAAACGAAATTACTGTATTATATTGGCTGCACAAAATAATGGCTTTTGTTGTGACATTTTATACATGCATATAATGCATTCTGATCATATTCACTCCATCACTGTCTG